CCTAGCATCCGGGTCTTTTTTGGTTTGAGCCATTCCACTTCAATTGAGTGGCTAAAGAATGGCCAGTCAATGTTCTTTGTATTCTTCTAGTTGCATTACAGGGCTGCCTACACAAAACCTGCATGGGCCCAAAGGATACAAAAGTTGCTCTGGGCCCGAACAGGCTGGCCCACACTGGGCCATCATAGGATTAATGTGGGCAGTCGCATAGTGTGGCCTGCTCACAGAGAGCCTGCGGTGAGCCCAAAGCTGTGGGCTTCGCCTGGGCAAGCCCACACTGGGCCTGTTTAGGTTTGGTGTGGGCTGGCCCTAGCCCACTGTGCCTGCAAAAAGCCAGCATGGGCCCCGCAAGGACATGTTTGCAGGGTCTGCAGCATCTGACAACCCGTTTAGAGAGGGTGTGCAGATCCAGCAGATCAAAGCGATCAACGCGAGCTGGGATAAACAGTGCTGCGGCAATGGCAAACCAGGCCGCGAAACACACACACTTCGTCCCTAACCCTCGGGAGTAGGAACAAACATGTACGGAGCCTAGACATCGTGACTAATCACGATGAGCACGTAACACTGAACGCGCATGCTCTTCGCCGAGACCAACGCAAAAGCAGAATATGCCCTCAAGTGTTAGAATCCAAACACGGAGGCACACATTCCCTCAGGTGCTGCTCGACTCAAGCGCTATACATGGGATAGATAACCCAAAAGAGCGTCTAAACCCGCAAGTCCCACGATCCGAGTCTTTGCCGTGCCTCGGCAGCAGCGGGACCCGAACAGCGAGACACAAACGCTTGTCATTCATCACTCAAGAAGAGGGACAAATGTGAACAGAGCTTCCCATGTCTAGGATTCGTCTGTGCGTAGTGGCTCTTGATGCGCTGACGCCAGCCTCAGTCCACTCCTTGTGAAGCTCCCCCAAATGGGTTATCTATCCCTCAGGTGCTGCTCGACTCAAGCGCTATACATGGGATAGATAACCCAAAAGAGCGTCTAAACCCGCAAGTCCCACGATCCGAGTCTTTGCCGTGCCTCGGCAGCAGCGGGACCCGAACAGCGAGACACAAACGCTTGTCATTCATCACTCAAGAAGAGGGACAAATGTGAACAGAGCTTCCCATGTCTAGGATTCGTCTGTGCGTAGTGGCTCTTGATGCGCTGACGCCAGCCTCAGTCCACTCCTTGTGAAGCTCCCCCAAATTCTTCCTGGTGCATCTCTTCCTACCACACTTTTTCCTTCCACTCAACTTTCTATGAATATGCTTGGATACAGCAAACTGTGAACAACTAGCTTCTTTAGCAATAAAATTTTGTGGCTTACCCTCCTTGTGGAGGGTGTCAATGACTTCTGTCAAGTCAGCAGTCTTCCCCATGATTGTGTAGCCTACTGACCCAGACTGAGAGACCATTTAAAGGCTCAGGAAACATTTGCAGGTGTTTTGAGGTAATTAGCTGATTAGGGTGTGACACCATGACTTTCCAATATTGACATTTTTCACAATATTCTAATTTTCTGAGACACTGAATTTTGGGTTTTCATTATCTGTAAGCCATAATCATCAAAATTTCAAGAAATAAAGGCTTGAAATATTTCACTCTATGTGTAATGAATCTATATAATATATGGGTTTCACTTTCTGAAATGAGTGACAAAAAATATTGACCTTTTCCATGATATTCTAATTTTCTGAGATGTACCTGTAGGAGATCTCTTTATTGTCTTGCTGAAATCTCTTTCAAGACCCCATTATGAAAAAGTTTTACAGGTTGCTCTTTCTTTTTTTCTTGATTATATTGGGGTTCTTCACCTTTAATGGTCAGGACAGTAGGAGTAGAGACAGGAAACAATAGGACAGGTTAGAATTGAACAGGAGCAGGAAAGTACCTTTAGCTGGGATTTTAACCCATGCTGTCTGAGGGGCAGGTGTGCCTTCACGTCGATGTGCTGCCCACAATGCTATGGCTCTGACAGAGCTTACTCTACACTCAGGATACTCTATGCTCTTTTTTTTTTTTTAACAAATCTAACACTATACCAGTGTTTTGTTTTGTTTTTGCTTTGTTTAGCATTAAAATTTTGTCTTATACAGCCCATATTTGCATGTATGTAAATATAGGTTATGGTTTCCTCTGTTAAATCATTGTGCAATAAAACACTGTCTACATAAAACAACTTCAAATATGACAATGCATGTATTGTCTTAGAATGAAATGGTGTGGATAAATGACATTGAAGCTAACCAGAGGGAGGGGAAAAAAAAGATCTCTTTAACATCTCAAATATTTCTCCTAGACAGAAATGAGGTTACTTTAAGATTGAATGGAAACTTTTGCTCGAGTCTCCTGCTTCTCAAACTTGTCTCCTGAGACAAAAACTCTAACACTCTCACACTGGTCTCCTTTAAAGCTTTAGAAGAGATCTCAACAACATCACACTCTGTGCTCAGACATTTCTCCTTAGCTAGAGACTCTGGATCTCTCACATTTGTCTCTTTTAAAGCTTTAGAATATATCTCAACAACATCACACACTGTGCTCAGACATTTCTCCTGGTCTAAACACTCTGGTGGTCTCATATTTATCTCCTCCAATGTTTCAAACAAGATCTCAACAGCATCACACACTGTGCTCAGATTTTTCTCTTTAGCTAGAGACGCTGGATCCCTCACATGTGTCTTCTCAAAAGTTTAGAAGAGATCTCAACAACATCACACACTGTGCTCAAATTTTTCTCCTACACTAAAGACACGGGAGCTCTCACATTTGTCTCCTCTAAATTTCAGAAGTGATCTCAATAACTTTACAAAGTGTGCACCAAGTCAAATGTCTCAATATGAGCTAAAACATGTCTACCATATAATATGTATTAATAATCAAATTAGTCAATTAATAATCAAGACTGAGTCATAAGCCATTTATGTGCCTTTCAGCAAAGAAAGCTCCAGGGTTACATTTTCTGTAGATCAGTTTTGATTAAGGCATCCAGTACATTACTATTTCCAACAACAAATTATGTGCCTAAGTACATAAACATTGTCCTATAAAAAGTAACATTATCCTTATTTCTGCATAAGTTCTCTCTCAATATAGCCTTTAACTCTGAATTTATGATTTTTCTCCCTTTATTTAGTGCCTTTCAAGTACTTCACTTCATGCACACTTTGTAAAGTTGTTGAAATCTCTTCTAAAGGTTTACAGGAGACAAATATGAGACCCCCAGATTATTTAGCTAAAGAGAAAATCTAAGCGCAGTGTGTGATGTTGATGCGATCTCTAATCTAAACATTTGAGGAGACAAATGTGAGAGATCTAGAATCTCTAGCTAAGGAGAAAAATCTGAGCACAGTGTGTGATGCTATTGAGATCTTGTTTGAAACTTTGGAGGAGACCAATGTGAGAGATCCCGAGTCTTTAGACTAAGAGAAATATCTGAGCACAGTGTGTGATTTTGTTGAGATCTCTTCTAAAACTTTAAAGGAGACAGATATGGGACCACCAGAGTCTTTAGACCAGGAGAAATGTCTGAGTACAGTGTGTGATGTTGTTGAGATCTCTTCTAAAGCTTGTGACGAGCGTCCCGAAGCTTCATCAGCGTCGCCCTGGAAACAAGCTAGGAGCACCTGGCCATCATCATCACAGGCTGATCGGTCACAGCTGCACCTCATCAGGCGGCAGCTACATAAGCCACGCAATCCCTGCCATCTAGGAGATTCCTCCATGAGACTGAGCACTAACTCGCCCTCTCATTTTTCCCACAGAAAGCAGCGTGTGACTGACCAGCCCCACAGGAGCACTGCACGGACCCTCTGCACTGGGATGACGGAAGAGAGCACTCATGGCACCGGAGCACCTACCTGGACCTTTCTCCCTATCACCCCAATAAATCCACCCTCCGGGGTATTGATTGAGATTACTTGTCGTGTGATTCTTCACCCCGTTACAAGCTTTAAAGGAGACCAGTGTGAGTGTTAGATTTTTGTCTCGGGAGACAAGTTTGAGAAGCAGGAGACTCAAGCAAAAATCTCAATTCGATTTTAAAGTAACCTCATTTCTGTCTTGGAGAAATATTGGAGATGTTAAAGAGATCTCACTTTTGATTTTTCTTTCCTATGGGTTCTCATTGGAGACACTCACAATGAGCGCGTTCAGAGCCCTCGAGCACTGAACGCGTAAGCTCCCGACCATGACGCATAGATCGTATGTGTTCTCAAGTGTCAGTAACATTGGGCACGGAGGCACACCCTCCACAACGATCACCCGCCTTGGTCTATCACACGCTACTTCAAACAGACGGATCCTGAAGACAAGAAGCTAATGACATGTTATACAGGTGCCCTTTTATACTCGTGGTCGCACCAGTAACACGTCAAAGGCAAATGTCAAGTTCATTGTCGTGTTTCCACATGCACTTCAGACATCGGTCACGCTGAAGGTGTTCCCCAAAGTGTCCTCTAGGGGATGCAGTGCGAGTTCCCATTCGATAAGGGAACATATGATTTGATTTGAGAATCCTATGATTCAGCAAACCAAATCCCTCATCCTAGAAGTGTTAAACCCAGACATAAATATGTATTGGGTGATCTGCTGATAACATGTGACCATCGAATATTACTAGGGATGCGCCGATCCGATATTCATTAAAGTTCACACAAACTCTTTTCTCCGCTGCGGCTGTCTCATTCGTTCAGCCTTTAAAGTTTAAACCCTGGTCGCGTTCGGTTACAGCAGTCAGCTCGGTAAATGAAATCGGTATCGGAGGCAAAAAAGGCGGATCGGAGCATCCCTAAATATTACCAAACAATAATTGAATAAAATAAGTGGGATGTGGGGGCATCAATTAAAGTTCTACTCACAGCATACTGTGATCAACAACCACATTGAAATGCAGTTCTGCTATTTGTACTGTTTGTACTCACACATATTTAGTCGATTACATAAAATGAGCAGCCAATATGGAATCAAAATAAATTAAACCCAGACTGACTGTATTTTGCTAGAGTAAAAGTCTCACCTCAGCTGTGAGATGTGGGGCAGACACTGGAGGAATCCCTTCACTTCACTCTCTTCATCTGTCCAGTCTATCAGCTCTACTGGTTTCTTCTCTGTTTGGAGTTTCAGCACTTCTAGGAGAATGGAGCTCTTTCTCTCTGAGAGCTTTATTCTCCAGACTGCAATATGAAGAATGAAGCAATATCACCAGCAATCCAGCAGAGTGTTTTATTTGTTTTCAATGTTTAACATTAATCTTACCATCTACTGGCACTGGTGTCTCCTCACTAGGTTTGCTGGTGATGTCCTCATAGACAGCAGAGACTCTGCCTCTATAGCAGGTGCTGTGAGGTAGAGTTAAAGTATATTCACACTCAGGTCCTTGTGTTTGTACTGATGACCAGCCCTCCAGTCCTGCTTTTTTATATTCAACCATATACCGCAGCACTGGACAATCCTTATCAGCTTCAGCCTTCAACCAGGTGACTCTAAGAGTGTTTCTGTCCAGCTTATTTATTAATGGTTGCCCAGGTGTTGCTGCAACAGCTGTCTGAAACTTCATAATGTTGCTGAAGTTGCTTATATAGTCCTGCTCAATAACTGAATACCTCAGCTGATACTTATGGCCAGACTTTAGACCTGATATCATGCAGGTTTCCTTGAGAGTTGTGGCATCAAAAATGATCTGTTTCCAAGTTTTGTTGCTCATTCCATCATCACCCAAAGCTCTGTACTCCACCACATATTTCTCAATGCTTTTGGTTTGTGTTTGTTTCAATTTCAGAGACACACTGGTGTGCTTTATCTGAACTATTTGGGCAAGATCTGGCTTTATTGCAAGCTTCACATTTCTGCTCACAGTCATCCCAGAATGATAAAATTGAACAGAGTATTCTGGAAAACCATCACCAGGTATTAATGCTGTAATGAACTTGGTTTGCTCTACATCTTCATTTGTCTCTTTTGCAGCAATAAACAGCTGTACATCAATAAGCACTTTCTGATTGATGCTAACAAGCTTCAATAGCAGTGAATCATGTGATTTCATGTGATCAGATTTGATATACTGCCTGAGAGCAGAGAGGAATAAATCCTCAGAATCTGGTGAGAAAATAGTGAGACACATCACTCTGGTTATCTGAGAGTGACCTATGACCTGCTCTAACTCTGCCTGTGATTTCACAACAGCGATGTCTGCAGCTCTAAGGTCATTCAGAGTCTTCAGTTCAGTTTCTTTATTCTCCAGCCACTGATTTGGTTTCTCCACGCTGAATGGTGATTGGTCATGGGTTTCAAGGAGAACTTGTAGGCTCTTCTCTTGTTCTAATTGTTTCATATGTATAGATTCGACAATTTCTGCAATACTTCTGTGAAAATTAGTCTTGTATTCCTGCAAAAGATCTGAAAACTGTACAAGTTTGTATTTCAGAGCAGGAAACTCCATAATCACCTTTACATTGATATAGTCTGTAATCATGTCCTGACAGATCCTGATCTGTTTTCTCAGATGTTCCAGAATGTTCTCAGCTCGATGAATCAAGTTTCCACCGACTCCACTCAGAGCAGCACGCACAGAGCTCTGATTCAGGTTCTTCAGAGGGTAGAGCCAGACCTTCAAAGGAACTGCTCTCTCACCTTTGGATCCAAGCAACATTGGCAGAGAGCCATATATCTCCACTGCCTTATCAAAAGACACTGGACTCTTCCAATCACCCAGATCAGTGTACAGGCTGCAGTAATAATCACTGCTGTTTGTTTTTTCTTTTTCAGTAAGACTTGAAAACGCATCTCTTGCATTAGGGGTGGTGGTGATCTTCTTGATAACATTTTCCATTTCTGCATGTCTCTCTGTGCTTATTCTCTCATTAGCATAATCAAAAACAAAGAAAGCCTGAGCTCCATAGCACACGCCGATGATCACATGTGTAGCTGTGGTTGCATTAATGACTGAGGAAGGCGCTACTTCCTGTAACAGTCTTTGACTGATCATGTCCAGTCTGGTGGTGGTTCGGTAGTGTAGTGTAATTCTGTCCTGATGTTGAGACTGTTCAGGGTGGTTCAGAAAGGCTGCAGCTCCAGACAGTTTTGTAAGTGCAGATTTGCCATTCTGTAGCAATGTACGGGAGATACCCAATTCTTTGAACCTCTCTTGGATGGAGTCGCACTCTAAAATCTTCACACAGGTTTGTGGCCGAGGCAGAGATACCTTTATAGAGGCAACTGTGTCTTCCTCTAAAATAATATCTGCAAATATTCACATTTAAAATTATTTATTATGATACACACCTTTTGACATCATTTAACAATTATTGTTGAACTTTTTGGATTATTCAAGGGTCTTCGAGTTTGTTGATCCTATCATAAAGAATTAGAACTATATGATGTAGATGTGAAATAGCATTGTTTACCCAAGAATGGAAATTCTGTCATTATTTACTCACCTTCACGTTGTTCTACCGTTTTAACATAAGCTTCAAGATACTTGAATAATCCCAAAAGATAATTTTTTATATTAATGCCATATTACTGAAAGGTTTTATAAATTAATTTCATGTTGAAACATTTTTATTATATCTTTCTTTTAAAAAAAGGGGGATTCAAAAAGTATTATTGTGGCTATTAACAACAGGTTATTTGGCCTGACATCATGAACTCTGTTGAAAACTGTCTCAATCTCCATCAATACGCAAGTTTTTTTAAAGGGGTCATGAATTATGAAATCAAATTTTCCTTGATCTTTTGACATGTAGGAGGTCATTGTACTGTTTATTATGCTACTTTGATAGCTCCTATTACCCTAATTTGTAAGTCGCTTTGGATAAAAGTGCCTGCTAAATGATTAAATGTAAATGTACTATAAAAAGAAGTTTCAGAACACAAAAATGCCTCGTTATTCCAAAAACAGCTTTGATTGAAACAAAGCTGCCAAAATGAATGGTTTGGGATTTTGTCTCAGTTTGACGAAATAATGCGACACAAGACCACCTCTGCAGAATCAAATCAATGCCTACTTCATCATTGCATCTTTGGCCCCAACCACTGGAGCGTTAGTGAGATGAGAAGGAGAGGAGAGAGATACAAGATCACTGGACTAATAAAACACTACTTTCCAAAGGATCCTAATGCAAGGAAAGTAAATGCAATGTCAGTAAAGCATTATTATATATTTTTTAATATATATTATTTCAAACATTTCACTGGTTCTTTGGTAAATCAGTTCAGCGTAGGCTTTGCAAACAGACTTTTACAGTAAGAATGGATCTGACAGTAATGCCACAACATGTAAGTAACCGTGTTGATTCTAATGCCTAATCTGCGATCAGTGATTTCAGATATGTCCTTGTCTCAAAATCATTTATTGCTGTTTATGCGTCTGTAAATCAAGCCAGTGACTCAACTTCACATTGTTCCTCTTAGTAGCGTGAAAATAATCTGTCATTTGAAATTGCGTTTAAATTGTATACAGAAAGCGATCAAAGAACCCTCCCTTTATAATCGCTGGAGCTGTCAATCACACAGCGCAAGTCAATCAGTGACTGAGTTCTGGACTCACGAAAACTCCTGTTATAATCAATGACGCAGTCTATACTGCACATTGAATCTTTTATTTAAATTGTGTTTGCACTGTTAGTTATGATGTAAACTTTCGTGACAGTGCAGAAATCAAGCTGCAATGACGAGATCACAGCATTCATGCGCTCAACAGACATGTCTGTCAGAGAGTTCCATATGTAATACTTATTTCATATGCAAACATGTTGGCCAATCATAGCAGTGGGCATTTTTATTTAAGTCTTCAAGGAGACATGCCCCTTTTCAATGGAGAGCTTAAATCAGAGGGCTAAAATCAGGGTAAACAATTGTCTTATTTCTAAATTGGCACTTTTTTTATGCAAAATGCATACTAACATTATAAGTGCACCTCCAGGAAACATTATAAAATAATAAAAATATGCAGTTCATGACCCCTTTATAAATGTGGAAGAACTGTAATGACTTCTGATTTTAGTACGGTAGTTTTGTTATTGCTGCTCCAAAAACTGACCTTGGCAAAATGAATCACTGTGACTGTTGTACAACATTCCAAGATATAAAGAGTGACCTAGAGCAGCCATCTCAATCACATCTGATGAAAAATCTGAAAATCAAAAAGAAACATAAAAATAAACAATACAATAGACAATATAAACAGCAGCCAATTTGAAGAGTTACCAAAGTGTATGATATTTACTCACCAATACAGTGGATTTCAAATCCTTTGCATAATCGTTTTGCCAGTATATCTCTTTCCTTCAAGGTCTGGAAATCCCATTTCAAATTAAAATAATTACATAATAGTTACATTAAATAGAACATAATTATTAATAGTATATATTTAAACTGAAATATTAAAAGTCTGAACAGATATTTGCAATTTTATATATCTGTAAACTTATTACCGCCTCCAGTTCTGTCAATCTTGCTTTAAATGCTTTGCTTTCTTCTTGTGATTCTCTGTCTTCTTTATGTGATAAATTAATAGCCTAAATAAAAAGCCAATCACATTATTAGAGATAGATAGATAGATAGATAGATAGATAGATAGATATCTAATCACCTCCACCAGGTTGTGTCTCTGCAGTGCTGGTACTGTGTAATGTTGTCTGACGTGTGTCTCACAGTAAGACGCAGTGCAGGTCAAACAGGATTTAACAGCTTTGAGCTTCATCTCAGTGCAGATATCACAGGGCACATCTTCAGGTCCAGCGTAGCAGTGAGGAGGAAGAGCAGGACTAAACCCTGCCTTCTGGAATTCCTCAATCAGTTTAGACAAAGTCACATTTACATTCAACACAGGACGATGTCTGAAATTCTTTCTGCACTGAGGACAAGCGTAACCTCCAGCTTGAGTTGGTTTGCTCCAGATGATCTCAATGCAGTGTTTGCAGTAACTGTGTCCACAGGGCATGGAAACTCGATCCTTGAAGACCTCCGTGCACACTGGACACTTGTAGTGATCCTCTGTCAGCAGAGTAGCCGAAAGTGTGCTGTAGAAACATCTGTGGTTACAACACTTTCAACTTGTATACAACGTGATCACATGGTAAAATAAAAACTTTTGCTTAATTTGTTTCTTTGTTCATGGTACTTTTTTGTTAATTTTGTATGTTAACATAAATAATTATTAAGAAATATCAATAAATTAAACCAAGATGAGATTGGAGTATTTACAGTAGTGACAGCATATAAACATACGAATAGTAGGCTACACTACAAACCACTAACGATAATAAAATGGAACACTTCCACTCTTTTTGAAGATACCACAAATATTAATTTAATTCAATTCAATGTGCCAAAGTCCAACTTTAACTAGATAATTTCTTCCAATTTAGAAGATCTCAGATTTGGATCAAATCAAACATTATGCAACCACAACATAAGTGAATTGTTTATTGAATACACATCAAGCACAATGTATGTGTAATGTGGGGTTTGGTGTTTGGTTTTTTTTTTCATGTTCATGTTTTCATGTCTTTTATTTTGTAATTGGTGCATGGTCCCTGTTTGTGTCATGCTTCCCTTGCCCTCATGTATTCATGCCATTGGTTCCTCTGTTCTTTGTGTCATGTTCTGATTGGTTGTCCTAGTCATGTGTCTTGTTTCCCATTGGTTTGTTCTTGTCATGTGACCCTCTTGTCTGCTATAAGTAGCCCTCATGTTACCATTGATGTTGCAACCCGCTGTCAGTGAGTCTAGTCTGTTCATGCCTCGTCTAGTCTGTTCATGCCTCGTCAAGTCTGTGTATCTTGTTTGGATTATTGTTTGGATCACACTGTAAATAAAACTGCACTTGGGTTCTCACTACGCTCGCCTTCAGTGGACTGACTCGTTACAATTATAACAGGTAAGACTTTAAAACAGTTTCATCTCAAATCAATTTATCTTGTTCCCATGCACAATTACAAAAAAAGTTGTATAATAAATTGTCTTTCGTCGTGTAGTGATGTTGTAACTCTGCTGTTGGTGAGTTTTGTTCATGCCAAGTCAAGTCTGTTTATGCCTCATCAAGTCTGTTTTAGTCAAGTCTGTTCATGTCAAGTCAAGTCTCGGATTATTGTTTGGATGTTTGGATCACACTGTAAACAAACTGCACTTGGGTTCTTCACTACACTCGCCTGCAGTGGATTGATTCGTTACAGAATACACGATCCCTACAATGAACCCAGCAGTATCACGCCTCCTCTGCCTTCGTCAAGGTGATAGGCCTATGCCTAGTTCGCCTCCGCCAAGTTAACCGGCCCATTGAGGATTATGTGGCGGGCTTTTGTAAATTGTGTAATTTGGTAGACTTCAACAATACTTTCCATAAAGACATTTTCTGTTTTGGTTTGGACAAAAACATTTCACAGTTAATGCCACGCAATACCCCACACTGGTCACTGGAACAATACATTGA